GAGAGAGAGAGAGAGAGAAAAGTTACGTGATTGAGAAGAACAGTCCGCAGTTGCAATCTCAATTTAATTCACTCTTTTCGCATCATTCATATTGCAGGTGCGAGATGCGCGGAAATGGCATCTCCGGCGAGAAAGCTCAGTACAAAAGCTCGCGCGATCAGATGCGAGGTGAGAATGGTCGATTGTACGCGCAGCGGTGTTACTTGAAGGAGTATTCTGGAATAATACCCGCTTCTCGTGAGCGGAACGACGAGGGAGAAGAACGACGCAGGGAAAAGGGTGGTGACGACAACGACGGTGACGAGGACGACGACAAGGACGACGATGAGGACGAGGACGGCGATGTTGCTGTTATCAATCACAAGGACTCTATGTGCATTCTCGCTGAAAAATATAAAGCCGGCAGGAAGTGGCGCGGCGGAAGGTGCTGGGACAGGATGCAATCGGGCGACAGAGACAAGGAGGGGGACAAGGACGAGCGTAACAAATCGTTGACTTCGGAAATCATCGATCAGCCGGCGTCGCCGCTCGAGAGCGTAAACGCGATTCCGCACGAAGGGCCGAGCGTGAAACACATTTGCCAAGCCGCGCATCGCGAGAGCTGCGGGACCGCCGCGATTGTGAGGACGTGCGGACGTGGATGTAGCCGACACGAGCCGCCGGAGGGTGAATTCGACCGATTGAAGTCTCCTTTGAACGAGACGGCTGCCGCCACCCGCTGCTGCTCGACCCGAGCGCAGACTTGTAGACATGTCTTCTAATCCATTTTCGGTCCCGTGAATGGACCTTCTACGTCCGCTTTACTATTTTCTAATTATTTTCCGCATAAAAAATGTCGGTCGCGTGCCGGAAATCGGGTCGGAATAAAAAAAGCAATGTAAAATGAACTCGTATTTCTTTATCTATATTTTAATTGTGGTGATAAGTACCATATGAAAAGAACGACATATCTGGAAAATTTAAGCAAAATCGTCGCTCCTTTGCGCCTTTACAATTCCAACTATATTGAATTTTTTTTCTAACTTCTTAAAACACTTATCCCCGCCGTGCATTAATGTAGCGGAAATAATGTAACGGAATATTAAAACGCTAAACGTCGAGAATAAAAATTATGCAAATCGGACTTTGGATGAAGGTTTAGCTCATATCGCCTGAATTAAATTAATGTTACACAGACGGGACAGTTAACTCTTAACTCATTTTACTTGTAATACGCAGTGTCAGAGAGCCCGTTTCTGTCCAGGGGAATTTTAAACTCACTACGGAAGAGCGGCGGCACGTTAATGGAATTATCGAACGTAAGCATGTGCATTAAAAGCCAACGGTGTGTCTCCTACATTCGGCAGCCTCCGGAGGCAGCTTTTCGCTTGCTGAACTCTTTGTGTTCGTTGCATGCTCGCGTTGTCTTGTTTCCTTTCTCGCGCTACTCGCCCGCAGCTTTCATGTTAATTGGCTCATCCGCCGCTGGCCTCCTGAAAGGACTTCACAGTATCACAATGTTTTTCTCTCTTCCTTCCCCCGCCCCCGCTGGAAAGTCCTGTTTCCTAATCTTGCACGCTATGTATGCTTTGTTTTTTCGTCACGTTCCAGGTCCTTTTTGTTTTCGCGATCTTTTTTCCAATTTTCTAACATGTCGATCGTGTACATGCTTTCGTCTATCAGCTTTTCAAGTAATTCGTCGGGTTTTTCTATGCGAGCGAGAGCCTCTTCATCGTATTCTGTTCGCATATCGAGATGATATAGATGATATAGATTCGTATTTTCCTTTTAATGAGAAGAAAAAAGAAGAAAGAGAGGAAAAAGAGTGGGGAAATTTTGTTTCTTTTCCGAATTTTTAGGATATTATTTTAATTTTCTGTAATGTGTTTAAACTAAATGTTACTTTGTAAAATAAAAGTCACCATCTTCCTTCATTATGCGAGCACGCGTCAATCGATCTCTAGAAGTATGCTGAAGTTCCTCCGTTGAAGTTCCAGCTTTCGTCAAGTCCTCTCGACTACCGAATTCCACGGGAATATTCGCACGGGTTATGACTTCATTAAAAACCTTCTGATGTAAATTTTTAAGAACAGCCATTGATCTCTCTTCTTCCGCCATTGATCTCTCTAATTTTATCCATGGGATAACACCACTTTTTTTCAGACGATACTGTCTGTAAGCTTTCTTTATAACATTCGTAGCAATTAATTGCTCCGTAGAAATTTGATGAAATATGCAAGAATTTTACATACAATGCAAAATAATTTCTTTATTTACTTGTATAATGGAAGCAGCTTTGTTTGCTGTTATCGGCATCAGTTTTAAGTCTTTATACGTCGTATCCAGCCAGACTACCGCTTGAGTGATTTCTTTAGGCTCTATCATGTCTGCCTCGCTTGTCTCTTTCTCTGGCGGTAGTGCAGCCGCTGTGCAAAGGGCCGTGACGATTTTAAGTATTGTTTTGTAATTTGAAGCGCGTAATCTGAAGTGACCATACCCATTTTCATTTTTAGATTTTTCCTCGTATAATATCCGCGATAAGTAGCCTGTATCAGAATGGCGGCTTTCGACGCCTCCGCTCGCGAAGCTCCCGCCTTTCTCAGAATCTCGAGGGTCCTCGTTGCCGCTCGTTGCCATTGAATCATGCCCCGAGACTCGTTTAACAGCATCCTCTCGTAATGCCCACGGAAAGCGGCCTGATCAATAACGTCGGGAATGACTCAAAGAACCGCGACGGAGAGAGAGAGAGAGAGACCTCGCGTATAAGTAATTAGCGCATACTTGTATTATCGTGGCATACTTCTCCGCCTGTTCCAGCGAGACCCCGCTCGCTCGCAGAATACTCTCCAGGGATACCTTGGATCTTTCGTCGCAAGTGGCGTCTGCGGTCGAAAGGGAGGAATTTCTCTCACGTACTTTTTGTGCCCGTTTGCGCTTTACAGCAATGCCGCGCGCGTGGGGCGGGTCTACCCGCCGCAAAATTGTTTTTCTACATAATTCACCGTGTAATTACCGTCGTACACCTGGGCCGCTCGCATGTCTACCGAGTCCAAGTACGCGCGGAACGCCGTCTAAACAAAGGAGGAAGAAGAGAGAGAGAGAGAAGAGAGAGAGAGAGAGAGATGGTCTGAAATATTATTTAACTGCGCCCTGGATCCTTATCCGACACGCGACAGTAAATTTTTATACCTGAATCCTGGGCGCGGCGCGGGCGATCTGCTGTAGACTCAAACCGCTCCGGTGAAGAATATCCACGACGGTCTGGCTCTCCGATAAAATATTGTTCACGACTTTCACCGCGACTGAAATTGCAATTGCAATTGCAATTGCAATATGCAAGAAGAACGCGATGCTCGATTATACAGATTTATAATTGTCGCGCGTAATTTTACAGCACGGATGACGCAGTCATTCTCTACAGCCTTTGAATTTGCATTTACATAATGATGAATCGTGGGTCACAAACTAGAGTTTCCCGGTGCGTATGTATGTATACAAACATCAGTAATTAATTAATTTAACGTTTTCAATTAGCGTCTGTTTGCAATTGAATCAAGACATCGAAATGTTGCGAAATTGTTGTAAACGATGCGGTACCTTTTGTATTTTCCCGTGTGATCAAAAGCGCTTCTACGTAATCGGCAATGAAGCAATAAATGTTTCTCGGTTGCGAGCGTAGAACCTGTACAGATCAGATAATAATTTAATCGTCCTTTGACGTGACGGCGGTAAAAGGTAAGTCAAATAACGATTTCATAGAGCGAACAACCTCGCGTGCGATGTCGGTGCATAGTTCGCGTAATCCTTCCGGGACCTTATATATATGTTTGGCTCCATGTTTCTGTAGTAAAACGTTCATTTTCGTGATTATTGCTTCAGCCGAGTTGCTTGAATTTATCGACTCTTGCTCTTATCGCGAGTAATACGGTGCGCGAAAGTTGCCAACTTTCAGTAGAGTAACGAGCACATTGATGAAACTATATGTATATACATACATCGATCAACCTATATAAATACCAACATAAAATGCAAGTAGACCAAGCCGCATGCTGGCCCCTGGATAAAATCACGCGGAGACAAAATCATTAAGAGTGCAAGCGCGAAGAACTCGCGGTTGCATCGTTTTATCAATCGTTTTATTAAACGTCATTAAATTGTGTTTTTTTACATATGAGATAATACGTGACCCGTGAGTCACACATTTCTCGATATAACGCGCGTTCACAATATTATTTATACAATTGTATTGAAATCAGTTCTCACGAACGAGCTTCCAGAAACGTCATTGATCATTGATGGTATCATTCACGAAATCTTTCCCTGGTACGGTGCCACTTAGCGCCGTCTAAACAAGAGAAATGATCTCTACGTTATCGTGGGGCATCCCGCGTGCTGACTAGATCTGACGCGTCGGACTCACGGTCAGTTCGTCGTCGACTATGAGCGGCGATCGCCATGCCGGTTAGGAACGTATGCGTCGCATTCTCGGTGGCTCTATCATTGCTGATCCTACTGCCGTCGCGTGAGTAACTTACATAATGTTTGGGATCCGCACCTCCTGCCTGCTTGTTCCCGACGCGACGCGGTGTCTTCCCGCTCCGCGGAGTTCCGTGCGAAGAACAGCCGCGAGAAAGTTCGCGCAGTGAGATTTAATTGCGAGATTAAGCATCGCGTTCTCTCATCCGACACACGCTTCCGCGCGTGCTCGCGGAATAACCGGTTAGGTCGGCGGGCAAACAACAGTGAGATTAATCTAGCGTGGAATGAAAATGACGCGCCGGCTAAAATCCGACCCAAATAATTATAAATATTATGTGCTGTATGCAGTGTGTGTTACAAACGCGGCACGTAGTATCGCGAATATTAACGCGATACATCGCGGTGTTTCTGGGAAGTTCTTTTCTGTACTTGAAATCAGAATAGAAATGTGAAACGGAAACCAAGCGCAATATTTGCTCGCTGGATGATGATTGAATATTCATAAACTAGACGCGCGACTACGAATTCTCGCACAAGTTTACATTGACAGGTTTTTGCGGCTTAAAGATCGGAGCAATCGCGTATTATTCCTCGCGTATTTCTGAGAAGCCTTGAAAGTGATTTAGAATTCATTACCGCCTCCCGTGCGTGTGTTTATCTCTTTTTTATTCACGATACAATCAGTTTAATATCAGATTACTGATTGATTTTTCTTGCTAATCACAAGGCGATCTTAGTAGGAATTAATTAATAAAATTAACTTACTCCTGTTTCATATTATCTATGTATTAAAGAAAATTCTTCAATAATCAATGTGAGAACATTTAGAAAGCAGAAATAATTATGCACTTTTAGTGTCCATACAGGATGCTGCGCAGACTTGGAATAGTTCTTCTGATCAATACTCGGCTGCCGCGAATGGCCCACCAGGCCACTCTAAGTGGGGCGGAAACAATGATTTTTCCGGACCACCGGGTCATAATAAATGGGGGGGTAGTAATGGCAGAGGGCCACCAGGTGGCCGCGGTCCTCCCGGTTTAATGGGCGGTGGTCCTCCAGGATTAAACAAACGTCCTTCGGGCTGGAACCAAGAAAATACCGAAAGTTCGATCGAAAGTGAAAATCATCCAAATCCAAATAACGGATTTGGATCGACTCAAAAACCTCATTCCAATAATAACAGAGAAGGTTCTTATGAATCGACTCAAAGACCTCATTCCAATAACGGAGAAGGT